AGCTACATTGATAACAATATTTCATACTGTGGTTTATTTGAATTTTAAAGCATTCTTAAAACTCTTTTTCTTTTTTGGTAGCACTTGAGAACTAAACTTTTGTTTTAGTTAAGCAAGTATCTTATTACTTGAGCCATACACCTCAGTCTCTTTTGCAGTTCAGTTTTTTTGTTTTTGTTTTTGTTTTTTTTCCAAATGTGGTTTCATGCTTTTGACATGGCCGGCCTTAGTCTGTGAGCCTTCTGCCTCCACCACCTGCATGCTGTCACACCTGGTCTAGGAAATAATTTTTTTTTGGTTGGTCATGGGGCTTGAACTCTGGGCCTGGGCGCTGTCCCTGAGTTCTTCAGCTCAAGTTCTGGTGGTTAGAGATAAAAGGCTCAGGACTTTCCTGCCTGGGCTGGCTTTGAATCATGATCCTCAGATCTCAGCCTCCTTAGTAGCTAGGATTACAGGCGTGAGCCACCAGCACTTGGCAGAAATAAAATTTTAATTGCATTAACAAAACAGATTTCCGTTTACCATGTCACAGATTCCAAAGAATGAAAGTAATTTTTCTTAAATGTTTTAATTTCTTACTTGAAAAGGCAAAACACAACAAAATCAGGAACTAAAGTTTATTGCCACTATTACTATATAGTCTTCTTTAAATACTTGTTTTGATAAATTCTTTGATTTCTATGGTAATAACTTTCTTAATATCACATCAGACTTAAATATCTAAAAATCCAAATATCTATCAAAGCCAAATAATAACTATTATATATTGCTTATTGTTACAGGTACTTGAAACATTATTATTGTTTAATTAGCCCAGAAACCCCATATGAGAGAAATAGTTAGCTCTATTTTATAGATGAAGAAATGAATAGATTAATTTTTTGCCTAGAATGACCAAAAATATATGATTTAATCTTGGTCCTTGAGCACTTTCTGCTTTGGTAGAAATACTCCTAAACTGAGTATTATTAACAAAGAAAGCAAGATAAAAATTAGTTCATGTTTTTTGGTGTAAGCTGTATGTGTTAGCTCCCATTTGTGAAATAAAGAGTTTTTATAAGCACATTTATCTTTCTATTTTTCAGTAGTTCTTTATCACCTCAGTACTTAAGCTCTGTTCTCAAGCAGAACCAAGTGCGAACCCTCAAAGGTATGTATGAATACTGATCCTTTAAATCAGGAAAAGACAGATAAAAATAAAGTTTAAAAATAATTGTTTTTTATTATAAATTATGTGTTAACTGTAATAGACTTGGAAAACAAAATCATTCATAAAAGAAATAGTACTCATAATCCCTATAACTCTATTTTAATATTGTAGAATACTTTTGATGACTTACTGTGCTTCATGTATAAGTAGATATGTTTACATACATGTATAGATATATGCATAATACATGTACATGTTTTTTAACAAATAGATTTATACATCAATACAGTTTTATGCTTCCTCTTCATTACTTGTTATGTATATTTTTCCTTGATAATAGCATTTAATTTCTTGGGAGTGATCGGAATATAATCTTTGCCTTATTTTATAGGTCCCATGATCTAAACACCACTTTATATTTACAAACTCCTGGGAAAAAACAAAGCAACAATTATATTTTGAGACATAAAACTTTGTTTCAATAGTAGAATTTAATTAGTTAGAACAGATACTTACATTTATATCTTTGGTTTTTCTTCCTGGCCTGCAAAGCATAAAATGCTTTCAAACTCATCACTGAAACAAAGTTCACCACTCCTTACATCAAAATATTTTGAAATGGTTCTTTTATAGGTTAGATGTAAGGGATTTTAATTTAAGAATCTAATAAATCAGCCTTTTTAGATTTTCTATATTTTTAAGCAAATAAAAATTGTAGTGAAAATTTTCCTGCTTATAGTTAATAGGTTAGTAGTATTTAAAGTAGATTTTTCAAGTATTGCTGCTTTGATGAGTTTCCATGACTTTAAAAAAAACTATACAATCTTATACTAAAGTCTTTGTCAGAAACATTTTGGTTCTGAACCAGTGCTGATTCTCAGAAGTTGATGTCTATATAAGTAAAGGAGAAAAAATATAAAAAAAGCTTTAGGGGCTGGAAAGGTGGCTCAGTGGTAGAGTGCTTGCCTTGCATGCATGAGGCACCTTCAGCACCACATAAGCAGAAAAAAGCCAGAAGTGGCACTGTGGCTCAAGTGGTAGAGCACTAGCCTTGAGCTGAAGAGCTGAAGGACAGTGCTCAGGCCCATGACCAACAAACAAACAAAAAAAAAGCGTTATAGAACCAAATAAGTAGCTAATTGAATAGGAAATTGATTCAGATAATGTTCTGCTTTTACATTTTTCTCTTAACTATGTGGTTAATATGTGTCTCTTTACAGTTAGGTATGGCTAAATTCCAGTATCTATTATGTCTACTACATCTTGCCAGGCATTGTAGTAGTTGCTTTGGGATATGAAGAAGTTAGAGAACTATATAGGCCCTGCTCTAAAAAACTTACACCTTAGCTGGTGTCAGTGGCTCATGTTGTAATCCTAGCTACTTATAAGGCTGAGATCTAAGGATTACAGTTCAAAGCCAGCCTGGATAGGAAAGTCTATGACACTCTTACCTACAATTAACCACCAAAAAAGGTTCAAGTGGTAGTGGCATTAGCCTTGAACACAAAAGCTCAGGGATAGCACCCAGACCTAGAGTTCAAGTCCCAGGGCAACAGCTTAACCAAAGAAGGTTGGCTAGAGTTATGTAGTGTACACTAGGGGGAAAGCAGTAAGAAGCCAGTTAAGCTGAGAAGCAGATAATAGAAATGAGATGCTTGAACTGGGCCTTCAAGAATGTAGGGTTGATGGAAGCAGAACCATAGAAAGGTGACTGGCATTTGCTGGGAATCTCTTTGGCATTCTGATGTGTAACAGAAGCTTAGTTGGATACCAGAGGACCAGGTAATTAGAAAGAAGCAGAGGCTTTCTGAGCCTATTGTAGGAAAATATATACCACATCATCAATGCTGATCATATTCGAGCATGTGCAAATATTTATAGAAGCTTCTCTTACAAAAAACTTTAACGTTACCACTTTTTTCCCTTTTCAGAATCTGATATTGATGCTGCCACTGCAATGATACTTTTAAATACTTCCATAGAACAAGGGATTTTAGAATGTAAGCAATCATGCTTTTCTTTTTAAATTATATTTTTGTGAATGAAATGTTTAAGTGCCATTATTTCTTTGTCACTAAATTGTGTTTTCCTCTCAATAACTCAGTTTATATTTCATTATATTTGTACCAATTTATTTGGGCAGTTGAAAAGTTAATGCTGTGAAAGAATATAATATATATAAATGGAGAAAAAAAAACCAGCACATTTAAAAAATAAGCTTGAAGCCAGGTGCCAGTGGCTCACGCCTGTAATCCTAGCTAATCAGGGGGCTGAGATCTGAGGATTGCGGTTCAAAGCCAGCCCAGGCAAGAAAAAGTCCATGAGACTCATCTCTAATTAACAATTAGAAAACTGGAAGTGGCACTGTGGCTCAAGTGGTAGAGCACTCACCTTGAGCTGAAGAGCTGAGGGACAGCACCCAGGCCCAGAGTTCAAGCCCCGTGATTGACCAAAAAAAAAAAAAAAGAAAGAAAGCAATAAATATAGGAAAGCATATTTATAATTTATAGGAAAATAAAAAGTTTCCATAAGATACAAATGCAAAATCCATAAAGGAAAAAATGGGTAAATTTAATAAGACATCAAAACTTTAGAGTCTGACAAGAAGCAGATACTTTGAATAAGTAGAGAAGCTGAGAGTATGTTTTAATAGTAGTACTTTACTAGTGCAGCAAGCACTAGGCAAGGCTCAGCGTGAGGCCCTGGATTTGGTTATTTGCACTTCCAAGAGACAGAAACAGAGGAGAGGAACTGGAGGTGGCTCAAGGAGTAGAGCATCAGCCATGAGTCAGAAAGTCAGGTGAAAGTGCAAGGCTCTGAGTTTAAGTCCCAGTGCTTGCACAACAAAAGCAGGGGAGGGCAGTAGGGATCAGGGAAAAGTAGCAACAACAAAAAAGGCTAGGAGAATTATTTTAGCTATATATCATAAGTAAAGGATGAATATTGAATCTCCCTATAAGGATCCTACAAGTAAGAAATAAAGAGTTCAACAGGAAAATCAACAAAATATATGAATAGGTATGATCAGAAGAAATACATATGGCCACACAGGTGGAAAGATACGTAACTTCTCTAAAAATTGGAAAGACACAAGAAAACAATTTTGAGATAGTCCTTTTTTTTTGCTTAGAATATTATAGAAAGTTAAAATAATTGAAAATATGGGAATAGTTTTTGTCATATACTGTTGGGCATTAAGTGGTTCAGCATTTAGAGGACAATTTGTATTTCCTTTTATTTAGTTGTTATATTTCTTGGTATCCTTCCTAGAAAATGATTGCATATGTGTGTATAGGAAAAAAAAGTCATCCAGAAGAATATACATTGTAGTAACAAATGTTTTGCTAAACAGCAGATCCATGCCAAGACATCTGGACAAATAGTTCAGAGTAATTATGTTTTGTGGAAAGATAAAGATGTATTTTTAAATGATTTTTAAATGTTTCAGATTAATTCCTACAGAATATGATTTGAGTAAAAGGCAGGGGAAGCCTGTAAAAACATTATTAATACAAAGCACTTACTGCTCCAGAGTTACAATTTTCAGTGGTCTGTGTTTGTGATCAGATTCATTTGACCTATTGATAGTTATGTTTTCTACAGGTGAGAAGCCTCTTCCTCTTAAAACATCATTGCAAAAAAAGAGGAATTATAGCAATGCATTTAATCATCCCAGTGCTGTGCGATTACAAGATAGTGATTCTTTAGCCACCAGCATTGATCCAAAAGAAGATCACAATTACAGTGCAAGTAGCATGGCAGCACAGCGCTGTGCATCTAGGTCTAGTGTGTCGTCCCTGTCTTCTGTGGATGAGGTATATGAATTTATCCCAAAGAGCAGCCATGTGGGAAGTGGTGGCAGTGAAGGATTTCATAGTGAAGAAGACACAGATGTTGATTATGAAGATGATCCCCTTGCAGACAGTGGCTATGCGCCACAGGCTTGTACGGATAACTCTCAAAAAGGGCAGCCAGGCAAAAAGATGCGAAAACAGTCATGTCAAGAAATTGATGAGGAGCTCAAAGAAGCAGCTGGATCTCTGCTCCACCTTGCTGGAATTCGTACATGTCTAGGTTCCCTAATAAGTACTGCAAAGACACAAAGTCAAAAGCAATGGAAAAAATAGAAGTACTTAGTAGGTGAAATTATTTTATAGTGTGGCAATACTCTTCTACTTAATTCTTTACAAGGGATATCAAAGCCATAATGGACTTCTTTAGGTTTAGGGTGGGAGAGGGGTGCCAATTGTTTCTTTCACAATATTTTTGGTTGCTTTTTCTTTTTTTAAAAAATTAAACAGTTGCTGTTAGGATCATGCCCAACCATAAATATGTGATCTAAATGCTTAAAAACATAATTTCTGTGATAAGTGCTTTCAAGATTTAGAAATTTTAATATAAGAAAATCCCTAGCCACTGTCTTAAACTTATAGGAAAAGCTCTTCTATTAATGTGTCACAATGTAAGATTTGGCAAGTCTATAACTTTTTAGTTTTTCTCTCCCATCTGTAATTAGCTATAGTTACTATCAATTGCTGATATCTTCTTCATATAATCCTTTTCTGACTCCAATATAATAGGTAAGACTATGATTTTTATTTTGTCTTAAATTATTTTATTGTTGTGGCATGAACGAAGTCCAGTATGCATTGGAAAAGATCCTAAATATCTACAAAATTCTTCTAGATACAGAAGTAATAGAAAAGGTAATTTGGAGATGTGATTTCATCTAAGAAGACCAATTCCTATTATAGTAGTATTTTTGAAATGTTTTTACTTCACAAATAATGCATAGCATTCATTCAGGCCTTTTATTCTTTCCCAAAGTGCTTTGCATCAGTTGTTGAAATTTTAGTCACTGGCTGTCTTTATTGAGTAGAAACTATTCACTGAGTGAATGCAGCCATAGAGAGTGTAATGGGATAACATAATTCTGACAGACTTTTGCAATAAGAGAATCTTTCATTTGCTTTTTTTCCCTCTTTTTCTTCTCTTTCTCTTTTTTTCCAGTACTGGGGATTGAACTCAGGGCCCTTTCATGCTTGCTAAACAAGCACTGTACCACTTGAGCCATGCTCCCAGTCCTAATTTCCTTCCTAAATACACTGTTTTCTGAGAGCATTTTAACAGCAATGGAATATAATTTTACATACTTACTACTTATGTCATCATAAGTAAGGTCATTGAGTAGAAACTTCTTTCCAAGCCTTGTATGAATTAAAATTGTATATTGAAATACTTTTTAAAAGATTTAGTAAAACTAGAGATAAAATATCTTCAGGGATTTAAAAACTCATATAAAATTAGGTCTTACACCAAACTCTTTGAAGGGGCAGTGTAATACCTATATGTGCCATTAATCCATGCTAAAAGATTTTTTATTACTATTCCAAAAGTGCATTGACCAAGGTGATTTAAGTATTGAACAAATCTGCTTGTATGAGACAGTTTTCATATCACTTACATAGTTTGACTATATTATTTAGAAAGAACGATGGATGCTAATACCATTAGTTCATTGTTTCTTAAAACAGCGAGAGCAACTTATTTAATTTATCTCATGATACATCCTCTGTTATAGACAATGATCTTGTTTTTGTTTTTCATATAATTTATATGCATTTATATTCATACATATACACATGCAGTCAAGGATTCATATTGTCAATTTCTTTCAGTCATTTTTGTGATTAAAAGGCATTTCATGGATTTTTTAAAAGATGAATGTTTATATTTTAACTTAAATTTTTATTTGGGTAAAACTCAAATGAGAATAATAAGAAGAGCATCTTCTTTAGTTGATAAATCTTTAGGCCAAGGATAACGGCATTAACATTCTTTGTCCTTTTTCCATATTAATATAATTGAGTCTAAATAGCTATATTAATAGAATTGGTGCTCTGAAGCATAATAAAATTTTAATTTGTTAGGTAATGTATAGTGAAGTATTTGGAATTTCTTCCTCATATATAATATATCTCTAGAAAGTGGCTAAATGAAAGTAGCCTTTTCTGTGGACAATGAATAAACACAAAGAAAAAATGTTTTTACCACAGCATAAAAGATATTACAGAAATCAATTTAATAACTATTTCTAAGCTATTCATTATGACCCTGTGGATATGTCTTAGTAACAGTGTTTTTGTTTGGGTAATTGGTTTCTCCTTGCCATGCTGGGGATGGAGCTTGAGGCTCTATCCATGCTGGGTAAGTGCTCTGTCCCTGAGCCTCACCATTGCCCAGTTAACAGTGTTGCAGTGATTTATTCCACTTTACTTTGTTCAGCTGAAATTCTCTATCACAGATATTCTTCCTGGTTCCTGTCCATTAGGTAATTACTCTTTGTAAGTAAATGAAAATGATCTAAGATAAGGAAGAGGAAAAGTTATTCTCAACCCTAATAGGGATCTCCAGAGATCCTTGTCTTATTATATATAGCAATAACATTAAATTTATCACTTTTTCCTCTGAGTCTTCAATGTTCACCTCTCAAAAACTTAATTGTTAAAGCTACAGTCATCATCAGACAACAGTGAATACATGTGCACAGAAAGCTGATGAGAAGATACACAGGATTTACAAAATTTTGCATTCTTGCATAAAATTCAGTATATCACTTTCCATCTGTTAACATACTACGGCAGTTATCTTTAAGGGGAAGAACTTTTTTAATTATGGTTCCCTTACTATGGCTTCCATGGATATTAACCTCATTGCTCAGGTATGTTGAGATAGAAACCATCCAATTACAGAAAGTCACTCTTAAGTCCTGCGGCCTGGATTTTGTGTTCCCAGTAATAATTAACAAATATTGCTGAAATGAAAACAACTTGGAAACTCCAGAGAGATGACATGTTTTTCAACATATTTTAAAACTGTGATTTAAGTTAACGTAATTTGCCTTACATCAAAATAATATAAATTTTGTTGCAGCCAGTTCATTTGTAATACATCTCTAGTAAAAGTTTTATCTCAACACAATTAATCTTCATCTTTTGCATCCCCAGTAGAATCAGTGTTTCTTGACTACACACTTTTGACATTTATTTGTGCAATATCACCAAATTAGTTAATATTTTACTTTTTAAATTGAGGGAAAGAAACATTACCTATATTAGTAGAAAGCTGTTAGTGAATCACCTTTTTCTACTCTGGAGTCTTTCTGTCCTCAAAACCAGCATGACTTCTACCTTAGAATCCTTTGTATATTGTACGATGTAATGTATATATACTATTTTTCTTTGGCTCCTTTCTGAAGCATTATGAAAAGGGTCATACTAGGTGGTCAGTTAAACTTATGTTAGCATAGATTCAAAGCTTAAGAAAGTGTTCTGGAGGGAACGTGTGTGTCTTGGTAGACCAGGAGGCCTTCCCCAGCAGTTTAAGCAACAGATGTGAATACTTCACTAAGCTGTAAAGACTATTGTCTTAAATACAATAACTTAACATCCTTTTGTGGAGATTATAGCATTTTAATTTAAAAAAAACCAACTCTGAGGCTTTCTGGTTTACATGTACTTTATAGTTTTTTGTTAGTTTGAAATGTGTAAACTTTGATTTAAGCAGAGTTTACTTCAATGTTAATGATGTAGTCAAAATATTTATTGAAAGGCAAGATAGAGTATTTTAATGTTGTATTAATGTTATACCTGCCATCTTTTCCCTAAAGTACATTCTTTGCATCTAACTGCCAGTGCCATTGTCAAAACAAACTTGTTTTTAAAATTGTTGTACATTTTTATTAAACTAAATGCTTAATTTTAAAGTATTATGTTGCCATCATATAGTGTATAAAATGTATAATTGCCATTTCATTGTAACTTATTTATTTTTAAATGAAAGTATGAGTGCTCCTGATTCAAGAAATTCGTTATTAAACTGTTTTCTCTCTTCTGATGTAGCATAAATTGTCCTGAGTTGAACTGCCAGTAGATGACCAGTCACATGTGAGCCATTTCTCACTTGCCAGTCTTTGCTCATATTTAAAACAACTTACGAATGTTGTTTTTGTATCTAACCTCTGATTATTAAAATGTTTATAAAGTTTATTTTTACCAAAGAAATGCAATTCATTATGATAAAGTATTACAGAATAAACATTGTTTTATAACATTTCTGTGTTTCTCTGTTCTTTTGTGGAGGGATGGTATACCTGTATTACAAAGTTGGAGTCAGAGAAATGAAAACTTATTTTTTTTACTCTGTTGTATGTATGTATGTATGTATGCATTTAGGTTTTTTGGAAATAGGTTCTTGTATAGTTCCAGCTATCTTTGAACTGATCTTGCTTTATCATCTCAATTGTTGAAAGGTAAAGCTGTTAAATAATTATCCTGCTAAAGCTGAGCTTTTTTTCTATTTCCACATACATAAGATATATATATTGAAATACAGGAAAAATGGGATAGAATATGAAATTAAGATTATTTGTAAATACAATAGTGTTAACTTCAGAAATACCCATGATACCATCTGTTTGAAAAGTGAGACATCCATTATGAGATGCAATAATCTATAACCAATATTTTGATCCTAATTTTCAACCTTGAACTTCTGAACTGATTGTTTAAATTGTATTTTTTTTTATTGTGAAAATACTGTACAGAGGGGTTACAATTACATGGGCAAGATAATGAGTACATTTCTTACCAAGCATTGTAGCCTCCTTCTTTGTTTCCCCTTCCTACCCCATCCTCCCCCGCCCCCCGTCCAACACTCCTCCCCGTCGCCACCAAAGTTGTAAAGTTCGTTTTCAACATAATGACTTGTATTTCTCATTGTTGCAATGGGTCCACCTGTATCCCTATTTAAACAATTTGGTTTTTCCCTTCCCCTCCACAAATTATAACAACATCAAATACAGTGAAAGCAAGGGTTATACCGTGGGGGGAGGGACATACAAAGCAACAAAGAAATAATCTTATAAATGTGTCAGAAACAGCATGAAAGAAAAAAAACATTTGAATACATATCTTAGGGTTCATTTCCCTAACATCAACTTATTTGACCTTTTCTGCTTGACTCAGACATATACTAGTTATTGCAAATAAGAGAAACCATGGGACCTATGTTTCTTTGGGCCTGGCTTACTTCACTTAATATAATTTTTTCCAAGTTTTTTAAATTGTATTTTCTTAATGGTGTTACTGGAAGATAATATTCACAGTATTCCTTATACCTGAGAAAGGATTTTGTTTATAATATAATTCCTATAATTCAATATTAAGGAGACCTAAACCTAGTTTAGGAAAAAAAAAAAAACAAACAGGTAAAATATTTGGATAGACCATTAACTGAAAATACATTAGTAGGCACAAAAATCAGCACTAAATTAGGAAAATGCAAATAATAACCACAATGAAATACCACTATACCCAATTATAGAATGTCTAAAATTAAAAGGATTGACAAATAAGGCTTCATTGGGCCATTCTTCCATGTATGCATGTCTAGGTCTCATGTTCAGATCTCTTTTTAATAACAGCCATGATATTCGGCCCATCCTAAGGACCTCATTTTAACCCAAAGGCCTTGGGATGGAACAAAACATTCAACCGTAACATCTAACAACTTCAGTATTTACCCAAGAGACCTGAAAGCTTTGTAAATACTGAAGCAGACTGTTCTTAGTTAAATTAGTAGACATTAAAAAGATTAGTTTCCCATACTGGAAACATCCTAAATCTCTTTAGCAAGTGAGTAGGACATTTTAGTGCATCTTCATGTATAATTACATAAAGATATAAAAATGTATGTGGAGGCTGAGGTATGAAGATTATTAAAGGCTAGACTGGGCTGTGTAGTGAGACTGTCTCAAAACAACCAAACAAGAATGTAGTATACCTGAAACCAATTTTAAATGTCTGTGATTCTATTTGCATGGAATTTTCTAAGAGGCAAATTGAGTCTTCTATTAGAGAAAGTAGATGGGTAACTACTTAGGGCCAGGGCTTGAGGATGGACTGGGAGAGCAAAGAAACACACAGAGAAGGGAGAAAAGCTTCCTAGCATTCTAAAACATTTTTTCCTACTTACAGATTAAGGGCAATAAGGAAAACATTATAGGAAATTGAAACACTAAACAGTTTCTATTTCAGAGCTGATCATTGAGTAGAAAGCCTCCAAGTCATGTGACTGGCTCCCAGGTAGACTGAAATGAATTAGAAGAAATACTAAAATGCTTTTGAGGATAGTTTGGTGGTAAGACGGACCAGGAATCCTATGGCTTACACACATACACACACACACACACACGAGGACTATGTGAATGTAAGTAAATGATGTATGATGGTTTTATGGAAAATTGAACTTACTGTTTTCCCCTTGCTGGGCATAGCAAGCAATATGCATTTATTTATTTATTTTGTTGGTCGTGGGGCTTGAACTCTGGCCCTGGGCGCTGTCCCTCAGCTCTACCACTTGAGCTACAGCGCTACTTCCGATTTTCTGGTGGTTTATTGGAGATAGGAGTTTCACGGTCTCTTCTGCCCGGGCTGGCTTTGAACCGCGATCCTCAGATCTCAGCCTCCTGAGTAGCTAGGATTACAGGCGTGAGCCACCAGCACCTGGCTGCAATATGCATTTATGTTAATTGCATTTGATTCTCACAGCAATTCTGTGAAGTTAACAAAGTATATGCTATCAATTATATATAAAGAAATGGCCCTTTGTAACAATAGCTAGAAAATCATTAAACAAAATCAAATCTGAGGGCCGAGAGATGTAGCCAGTAAAGTGTCTAGCTTTGCAAGACCTTGAGTTCCCTCCTCAGCACTGGAAGGTGACTGTCATTAAGTCTGAGTCCTGAATCTGTGGCTTAATGAGCAGTTTACTGCTTCTAGGTACAAAAAAATTCAGGCACAAGAACATGCTTGGTTATTTGTTATTTGAGATTGCTAACAGCAATGTGTGTGTGTGTCCCTCCACCCAGCCCCCCCTATTTTTTTACAACAAAGAAAAACCCTCCATTTTCCGGAGTTCATTTCAATAAATATTTAAGATGATCAGACATTTTTTCAGATGAGGCAATAATACATTGCCCATAATGGCCTCAAACTTCAAGACTCAAGAAATTCTCCCTTTCTGCTAGGTAATGAGAATTCATGCCTATAATTTACTCAAGAGGCTGAGATCTAGAGAGTCAAGGTTCAGAGGCAGCATGGGAAGAAAAGACTGCAAGACCCCATCACCAACCCAACTGGCAAAAGGCAGAGCTGGAAATACGCACCAGCAAAGTGGACTACCAGCTGAGCAATTATAAGGCCCTAAGTTCAAAAACACATTGCTGCCAAAAGGGGAGGAAAAACTCCCCCCATATAAGCCTTTTATCAAATGTTAAATGCAGATTTTTTTAAAAAAATGATTATAAAGGTGATGTACACAGAGGTTACAGTTTCATGAGTCAGATAAAGAGTACATTGGTTTTTGGACAATGTCACCTGTTTACTCACTCTGGTTTTTGCTCCCATCCACACCCACAAGTTGTACAGTTCAATATAGCGTCAGGTGAGTACTACTGCTGCATTTGTAAATACAGATTATTAATCCAATAGTTTTGACAGAATAATATAGGCTAGACACCTGTCAAGGTTACCCTTCAAAATAATTCCTAAATGAAAAAAAAATGTATAACCCAGGAAGTTAAAGAAGAAAATATGTCCTGAGCATATATTACATTTTTATTAAATGAGTTGTTTTAAGAGTGAATGCTTAACTATTCTCATTTGTTTAAAAGCCTGTATTACTGAAAAGTTACTTTTTAGACATAATTGAAACTAGCTATCCAAGTTTTTTAGAATTTTAAAGAATTAGAAGAATAATTTTTGTTTGCCTATCTGATCAACTTCATTCAGTAATCATTCTCATGATCATATTCAAGTATCAACTTTTTAATAGGTAAAGTAAATAAGAAATTGAATCTTGATCAAATTACAGTATTTTATAATCTTATAAAACTTTGCCTTGGCTCATGTCAAACTTCATTTAAGGTTGGGGATTTAGTTTAGTGGTAGAAGGCTTGCCTACCTATGCATGAGGTCCTGAGTTCCCCCAACCAGGGGAAAAGTAATTTTAAAGAAATCCCACTCACTTGCATAATTTTTAAAGAAAATTATATATACAATTTGATTTTCCTTGAATGAAAGCGTGTGATAATTCTGACTAATTTGATTCTGTATAAACATTCTTCCCCAAGAAGCGTATGGTCAGTGTTGATTCGCTTTAAGAACAAGGCTGATGATTCAAAGGAGGAGTGACAAGTTCAACTACTTGCAGCTAGCTTTTGGGGACAGGCACTATCTTTCAGCTGATATCCTGCAGGTTCTTATGGGTAGAAGGAAAAGCAGGGTCATATATAATTTACTAGTTCTCTCTGTAATTGCTTTCCAGTAGAACTGCAGAAAGAAATTTGCTCTCATGTTTCCCATGGGGGTTTGCCTTTGTTACAGCTCTACTATAAGCTTTGTGTGGAATTGGAGCTTTTGAAACAGAGTATTAATTGGAAGCAATTATCCAATTATACCAGCTGTGACTGTGCTGTATACTGAATATTTACCAAGAAAAGAAAGCGTTTAACAGATGATTTAATCAAGCAGTCGGCCACAATGAGTGCAAGCTACACTGCAATTGTGTTGTGGATGTCTTCAATGGCTGAAATATTTCAGAGTCCACAGTGTAAGTTAAAAAAAAATCAAATCAAAAAGTCAACTGGGCTCGGTTATTCAAACCAGTACATGTGTGTGATATCAATTTCAAAAGTAATCAAAAGAGCTTCTGTTTATTTTCAAAAATGTATGAGATTTCTCCAACTACTTGATTTTTGAAAGTAGATATGCTTTCAACTTTAATCATTATTTTTTCTATTCTTTTCTTTTGATGCCTCCTGTAGGTGCCCAGAGTCTTATTATAAGGCTGTCCTTGAAATTGATGCTTTGGAACCACTTTAGGTACTTTTCAGATAAGCAGCAAGAAGAACCTGCCTTGTAAGTGAAATTCCACTCAGCCAGCAACAGTGAGATAATGAGCTGCGAGGCAGTCATTTTCTGCCTGTGATCTGTTCTGTTCAGCCTGTCAAGTGCTGACCAAGGTCCTGGTAGGGGGAAAAGCTTTGGCTG